ATAGATTTTTTAAAATTGCATCCAATTGATAATCTGGCTGCTTTGGAAAAAAAATAAGTCTTAATGTGAAAATATCTATTTTGGCTAGAATAAACGTTTTCCACTGGAGTAAAGACAGATGGAATGTTCTGACCCATTTCTGCAGCAATGTCTCACTCCTGACTGCATGTAGTTTCTTTGGAAGAATAAGCTTATTTAAGGGTTCAGACTATTAAAAACATCTGCTTTCCCAGATATCCTGAAACACTGCAGTATTTGAAAATGGAGAACATGTATAATGCTTGTCCTAACCACTATAAAACATCGGCTCCACAGTTTAAATTGTGGGATTCTAATTATGGTGTGGATATATTATTCAGTCCTATGTAATGCACTTTTGGTTATGGTGCTGTGATCTCTTTTCCTTGGTTGGAACAGGATCAGCTGACCATAGTTGCAGTGTGTGGCCGAACAGCAAATGCATCTGAATAAGCAAAGTAATCACTTCCAGACTAAACACATTTAAAATTTGTTTAACATATTGAACAAGCTTCATCACTGGGAGATGTCTCTTCTGTGAGTGACATCAAGCTACACTGATGTGTCACTTCTGATGCCAATGTCTTTATCTCGTGTTGAGGTCTAAAAGCACTGAGTTCTCTGAACTCGACTGAAATCTTCCTTTGACTGTGGTAGCTCTTGGCTGAGGGCCAATCTCTGTCTGACGTCTGAGCATCTCTAAGTATTAATAGCTATGTCTTCAGTGGCCCCTGTGGAGCAAGAAGTTATAAGTTATTCCGCTCTTTCAGATGGGAAAACTGGATTGTGAACAGACAGTAATGCTCATCTGTTTAGCTTGGAATGACTTGGAGGAAGCTGGTGATAGCACCAGAGGAAAGCGGAGATTTGGCATTAGTTGAGTTCACTACGAGACCCTTATTTGTTTAGCAAAACCGTTCGGTGGTCAGGGAGAAAGGGAAGCAAAGATGCTTCAGATCTCAGCTGTGCTGGAAGAGCACCAGTATAGCCCATGTACGTGTGACTTCTATGTACGGTTCCATAGTTACGATTTTCTAGGCTTTTCTCTGTTTTGGTGTTTAGTCCTGATATTATCCTGACAGCACGCCCTTCACTTGTTCTTGCTTTCCTTGCCTTTATTTAATTCTCCAAAGCACTAAGGTAGGCATCTCTCTGTTTATATTGTGCTTGAGACAGAGCGGTGAGAGCTTCCGCTGAGTGGCACATATTCTACACCCACCCAGGTGCTGATCTGATCGTGTCTCATACCGGTATGTCTGGCACCAGTGAGGATGTCCAGCGCTTGCGGGGTCTCCTGTAGGCGGTCCCGCAGCGAGAGGGCAGCAGTGCTGCTGTAGGTGCTAACTGGGAGATTGTGGTGCTTGGCTAAAGCTCTGCTCATGTTACAGAATAAGGGTACAGCAACATAGCAACATGGCCCGCCTGCCTACGTATATGCTCTTTTGCTAATTTGGCCGTCTTCTTGCTGGCTGCATTTCTGTGGTTGTGGAAAGAGTTTACAACGCATCTGTGGTCCCTAAAGGTTCTCTGGCTCCCTGTTTCTCTGGAGAGAAGGGTGCTATTAAATACAGCCTCCCACCAAATTCCAGTGACTAATCACACACAGACCATAGTCCCAAACCAGCCATGACTCAGACACCAGCGACCCTCTTCTGAGTAACGCTGCAGGAAGAGCTAACGTGCTTCATCCCTGGCCTTGCACAGGCAATGGGAATGCTGAATAAGAGCAGACCAACTAAAAAGGCTGGTTCTTGAGCAAAAAAAAAAAAAAAAAAAAGAAAAAAAAAAATGCTGCCTGCAGTCCCTAGGTATTGTCCATTATAAATACTGAGCTTCCACATGGCTACAGCTGAGGCACAGCAAAGGAGCTGAACGCGGATGCTGAAAAGGTTTGGGGCAGATTCAACTGGCTGGCAGGGTGATGGGAGAAGTCCCCACCATGAAGCCTGCCTTTGAGTTTAACGAGATATTTGAGCACACGCCTCAGGGCAGACAGGAGGTCTTGGGCCCAGTGTCACTGTATTTAAGTTTAGGTGTAAGTTTAAGCATCCTGCTAGAGTAATGGTTTGGATGAGAATTAAAAGATGAGTTCCTGATCGAGCGCATGTCCACCTAGAGGTACAGTTTTCTTCTTAGACTTAATTTCTTTACAATGGAACCCTGCCTTCCCCCTTTAAAAGACTTTCTCTTGAATAACAATGTGGTTGGTCATTTCAACCTGCTTCTGTAGTGTTTGTTCTTGCTGCAGTTATTTTTGTACACTCAAAAGTGTCTCTTTTTTTCTCTGACTGTACTTACATAGTAAGGGACTTATTGAAATGGATGACGTGTTATTTTCAAAATCATTTGAATACAAAAGTGAAGATGGAAAGTTTGTGGCAAATTGCTCTGTTCGTGAGCAAAGGGACTCAAAGAAGTTAGCTTCCCAAAGCAACTGCAGCCATTAAAAAGTCTTTCTAAATGTTTCTGGGTTTTCTGAACACATTCTTATCCTTATGTTTAGTTAGAAAGATACTTTTTTATCTACCGAGAAATGTCTATTCTGTTTTTTCAGAACCTGCAGTTTTGAAACTTAAAACAAACAAACAAAAAAAAAAGCTTCCATTTATATTCCAAATACAATCAAGATTTTCTTTAAAATGCTTTCCTCAAAGTTTTTATTGTTAAGAACAGGGCATTCAGAGATGAGGCTGGATGCATAGTTTTGTCATGTTTATGAAGTCATGAAAACATCTGGATACAGTATGGAAACCCCCAACTGAAAATTTTTTGAAGTCTCTCTTTAATATAATCATCTGGGCTTACTCCACTAAACTGTGTATTTATTGGATTTGGATGGAGATGAGGTAAGAATCACACTGATACTGTTGAATTTAAAGGTATTGTTAAGATTGCATTGCTTTAGGGATGTTAAACTGTGAATGTTAATTGTATACACTTTTCAGTACTTAATTTCTACTTCTACAACTGATTCACAACAATCATGCGTATCAAACAAGTCAGGTAGAGAGCAATGTCTGTTCAGTGGTTGCTTAAAAAAAACATTGTGGCATGTCCTTTTCCTTTCTTAAGTATCAAAGAGCAAATAAGCAGCCTACCGTGTATGTGGCCCTGAGTTGGCAATGGATCGCTTCTGCTTGACTTCATCAGCATCCGTTCCTTAATTAACAAGTGGGACTATGTTTGTAAAATGAAATATAAAATTTTTGTTTCTGCAGAATTTTTTTCAGAAATTCTAAAAAATTTCCTAGTTCTCTGAAATACCCTCATCTATTTGGCACCCTCCTTTATCTCGTTGTAGTCTTCAACTCTAGAAAAATTATAGCTCCTTGAGAGCTAATTTAAAGAAAACTCTCACCCTCTGCTTTCACAGACATCAGAATCTTTGGAAAGACACTGGTCAGCACATCTATGCAGGCCTGACTGATTCATTTGCCACTAACTTTTCAACATTTTAAATCACTTCCAAATAACAAAAGGAAAAGTCAAATAATAGTAATAAAACCTGAGGCACCACGTAGTATGCAATGTCCCAGGATGAAGAGCTTCATCCTGGCTCTGTTGTTGTGTTATCTCTTGCTGCTAAACACCAGTGTATGGAATAATTCAACATGTCAGGGACCCTGTCCTTATTATCATTTACCTCTCCCCAGTCTTTGTCTCCTGTAAAATTCCTGATAATGTTTTTAACTGTTCTTCTTAAAGTCTGATATGTAATAATACCATTACTTGCAGATGTGATGATACCCACTGATAAGAATAGCTTCAGTAGATGGGGCCAAAGGTCTGTCTTGTGCAGCATCATCAGCTGTGGCCAGGAATGGATGAAGTTCAAGGTTGTGATATTTCCCCCTTACATTCTCCTGCCCTTCAGCAGCTTTCAACTCAGAAACTACTTGAGTCTATCTCTGGGTTCTGACATGCTTTTTTACTTCTATGTCTCTGCCTTAATTTTTTTTTCAGATATCACAGATACACGTAGGAAGGAGAGTGTATATTTTCAGGCTAAGCAGAAGAGTTCAATTAAGCTTCATTCAGTTTTTCCACATAGCAGGGTCATAGCAGCTTAGTCTGTAATGGGAATTATACCTCTGTAAATATTTCCAAAGAAGCCCTAGAAGTACACTGCTTGAAATGATACAATGGAAGAAGAATGTGATAGCTATAATGTTTGTTTTATTCTTGTATGCAAGGCCAAAGGAAGCTGAAAAAGAAAGGTAGGAATGCAAATAGAAGTGTACAGGATTGTGACCATTGTTGATAGTGACTCTGTTCTTTGTGTTGGGAAGTTTTCTGCTGTCAGCCCACTGCAGGATAGCTGGTGACACCTTGTGTTCCCCGCATACGCGGGCGGTTCACTGGATTCAACACAATGAGTGAGTCCCTCTGTAGTCGGTAGTGAGAGACTGACAACTACGAAATGGTGACAGCTTACACCAACTCCGTCTTCGGTTCTAGGGTTAGTCTCTGCTTTTGTTTCTTCTGAGCCAGTGCTGAAATTGCCAATCAGTGAATGAGCTAATTAGTAGAACAAAAACTCTTTCATGGAGCAATTATTTCCACTTTCCAGCACTGCTGATACAGTGTTGGGGAAGGCCATGTTTTCTATTCAAGTAGCACACAGGTTTGAAGTGTTTCAGTTTCTTGCAATCCAGATATATACAACAGTGTAACTATCTTCAATTGTGGTCTGCAGAGAAAAGAGATGGTCGAAGAATAGAAATGCATTCCTTACTACAAGATGGGAAGTGGCCTGGGATGGTTTCCAATGATCTGTGCCCGCAACTGAAGCCAACCAATGACAGGAGAGTTCCCAGCCTCTTAAAATCCCCCTTCTTAATCTAGGCTTGGAGGGTTGCTGGACTGTCACAGGTAAGGGAGCACAGAGCAAAAGTAATTGCTACCTGCAAAGCTGCTGTGGGAGAACAGCTTATATCTGAACTGAAAACAGGTTGGAAACTGGCGGACCAGTGCCCAGCAGCAGCCATGTGGATGGCCTGGAGGAAGCAGCTGAAAGCAAACAAGCAGTGGGTCTGGGTTGTTTCCAAGAACTGTCTAGGTCACCTCCTTATCTGTGATTTATATATCTTGTGAATAGGCTGCTCGACTATCTGGATGAGAGGACTCACCGCCTTGGAATTAAATCTGGGAAATGCTTTTGGAAAAACAGAAGATGTGCTGGATGAGGATAGTGTTGTCCCTCCGGCCTGGCAGGTTCTTATAGGTTTGGGGTTTTTTTTTCCCATTAAGAGGAGAAATTGATTATATTATTTGGAGAGAGATATTCCTTGGAAAAAACATAATTTACTTAGACACCATGTACGTGATGTCCTGTTGCTATGATATCAAAAGAAACAAACAGTTTCCTTGTCAGAAATCTCCAGCTCTCTTCAGCAGGCTCTGTGCCCCAAAAGCTCTGTCTGTCTTCCCCCCTTACACAGGCATGTCTCATGCTTCTACCTCTAGGCTTTCTCCTTTGCTTAGGTACTTGAAAGATGCCTTGCATTTATTTAGGTCTGTGATTGTGGATTTCAGTCAGTCGTTACCAGCTTCCAAAGTAATTGTGTGTTTATAATATTCTGGAAGGACAGAGATTTGGCTCTGGAGTAAAACAAGAAGGCATTTATACCCGCTTTTCTTTTGTGTTTGACTCCTTGGACTGTGTATAACCTTTTTCCTTTTCACCAGATGGTAGATGTTTCATCCCTTGTGGACTTCAGAATAAGATCAAAAGATAGACATGATGATGGTTAACTGGATTAAAACCAGTGTTTGGTTGAAGTAAAGTGATGTTTCCTACTGGCTCGAGTCTCTGAATTTATAACTGAAGGACATGAAGTGCCTAGTGTCAAGGCTGTTGTGAAAAGTAGCCGAGTGTGGAGGACAAGAATGGAGCACTGAATTGCAGGAAGGGGACTATCCTACAGCAGGGTGGGAGGATCTGGCCCATGTGGGAGCACATGTGCTATCCATGCTGTCTCAGAGCACTGTTATTGCCTGAACAATGTTACATTACATTATTGCACGAGCAGACTATGCTCATTCATTTCAGCTTTGGTTTTAGGGCTGACAATAGTGAGAAATTTTGTGCCAACCACATCTTCCTGGGGATTTCTTGACTGCCTGTGTAATCCCCTATGTGCTGGACCAGATGATCCCCAGCGATGCAGGGACTCCCCTTCCTAGGGTAGCTCCTATTTGCTCTGGGATTTCCCAGCATATCCAGGCAACAAGGAGTCTACTTATTGAGTGGAAAGCTCAGATGTACTGTGGCTGCACAGATTGATTGTAGGGCATATGCACAGCTTTCCGAGAGCTGGATTCCACTGAGCTGCCATTCACCTTTGTGCAAATTCACCAAAATGCCTTTCAGACACTCAGTCTGTGGGCAGGAAAAAAGCAGAAATGTAGAAATATGACCATACCTCTTTAATAAGTCACAATTTAATCAGTCTGTTCAATACTCTGTAGTGCCACCTGGCCCTGCCTGAGCCGCAACAGAAGGAAGTTTGCCTTGCAATCGGAGTTGTTATATGTGAATCTATTTCTGTTAAACCAAGTGGGAAAACCTTTGGGTCCCATTCAACATTTCGGGAGGTGACACAGTCACCAAATGTAGACTCCCAGTTGAGTTGGTCACCCTGCCCCAGTACATACAGTATTTGACACAAAGATTGACTTCTGCCGCCTTACTGAGAGTTTTTTGTTGCATGTAGCAAAATCATGCCCTGTTAATCCCCTGACAGCTTCTGTTCTCTGCTGTGCAGCATGGTGTCACCTACACCTTCGTTACTTTCTAACGTGATGAGGAATGGGCAATTTCTAACCCAATTGCATTATCTTAGTCTCCTCCTTATCATTCCCAGGTTCCACGGGATGTTTTTCCAAACATCATCTCTCTTATGTGTAGCCTGCAATGGGAGACAAGATTTTCATAAAACCTTAGCAACTGTGAGGTGTAAAATGGGATTTTTCCCAAGCACATACCCTTTGAACTCCACTTCTCTTGAAATCAGTGGTGAGTGGTATAGATTTCCATGGGTCAGGGTTAGAGCAACAATAGGACTTTTGTGAACTCCCACAGACGGAGCCATGATTTCGGCATTCACCATCCTGAATTCTCTTTAGGGACGAGAAAAAAAATCCCAGCAAGAGACCCTAAATTAACATAATACTTTCCTCATTCATTTCAGCACACAACGTGGGAGCAGAGAGCTCTCGTGAAGTTGCCTGAATGTTTCTGCCTCCATTTATCCTATAAAACAAATATAGAAGAAATAATCTGAACGAAAGTTGATGAACTTTTCAGATAGGGGACTGTACAATATTGAGTTAAATTAAACTTGGCCTTGAAGTATCTAGAGATCGTGATATTAGTCTTAGAGAAAACAGGTTTCTGCTGAAATTATCACCAGTAGTGACCTTGGCCTTGAAATCTGTGTCATTAGGCTGTAGATTTAGATAAAGAATTTGGGTCACCAACAGGGTTATAGTATTCAGTGGATTATTCACCAGTTCAATGGGTGTAGTATCCACAGCCTGTGGTTTAGACTCCCACCAGAGTTTACCCCAGGCTGACTCAGCTACGGTGGACTTCTGTGATGGTCTTCTGCATTGGCTGGAGGAACGACAGCCAGCGAGACATGAAGCTGTATCACTTCCTTGCTGCTAGCTAGCCCAGCGGGGCCATTGGGCATGTTTTGCTGGGCCCAGTTCTTGGAGAAAGACTGAACTTCCATTTCAGTGCTCTTGGGGCCTGTTCCTTGAGTCCCAACTAGAAGATGTTGTATCCCCTCAAAAAGCTTTTAATACAGCTTTTTCCTATAGCTGATTAAAATAATTCAGTATCCTCAATATCACCTGTCTTGGCAAAATACCGAAGTTTGAGTGAAAGCTCCATTAAAGCCAACTTTTATTTAAGTTCTTCATCTCCCAGATGTACTACTGTAAAGACTGCAGCTGTCTAAGCAGGCAGAATAGCGCTGCCGCTCCCTGTCTGTGTGCAGTGTGTTTTCCTGGCTCTGCGTGTTGGTGTGGTAAAAATAGCCATATTTTAAATCTATTGAAAATATTAAGGGCTTAATTATCTGCTTTGGAGCCTTTTTCGGATGAGACTAAGGAGATATGAAGAATTTGGCTGCTGTTCTCCGCTCCTGCACCACCCAGCCATAAGGAGAGCTAAAGCAACTCAGTGGCTACTGTATTTTTAGTGGCCCCTCTGGCAGGAAGAGATCAGAGCGAATGCAACTGCTTCAATACCCCCTTGTTCCAGGCATGTGTGTGTCTGTCCCCAACAGACCCCTTGGCTGTGTGTAGCTGTTGTAGGAGCTAGCTTTATATGAAAGAGGGAAAGTAAAATCTATTTATAGGCAGTCTGAGCGGCACATTAGTCAAGGCTAGGTTGTTGACTCATGCCCATCTGATATCATTTAAAGGGTTAGATATTGCCAGCGAAATAAAATAAGTGCTGTTACTCCCTTCTAGTCAATAGAATTAACTGTTCTTAAGCTGACATTTGCTTTTATGGCAGAAGCAGCATTGCGTCTCAAGGGTACTTTTATAAATATATACATTGCTGAAAACGGTGCTAATCTGGATTTCCTTGGGATTATAGTGATGGAAACAGAAATATGAGGGCAGCAAAACCAGCAGAGAGCCTTCAGCTCTGTTGTTTGTCACTTATGTTCATCTCTGTTAAAAGGACCTGTGGAAATCAAGGGCAAAGGAGGCAAAAGGCAGCCCTGTTAGCACCAAGGGCTCCTCCTTTTCCACAGTAGAGTCTTGGAAAGGCCTTTCCCTCCTCCTCCTCATCCCAGCCTGTCTCAGGAGTGTTCTCTTTGTTAAATAGAAACTGTTCTGTTTCCTGTCTGTGTTGAGCCATCAGCTTTTGGCGTCAGTTTTCAAGCCCTGAATCACGCTCTGGGGATGCGCGCTGGAAAGCTGATGGGAACCGATTGCCTATCAGCAGCTGAGATGCAACTCATGGCTTCGCTCTTCTTGGGAATCACAGTGTGCAGACCTGGACAGCATCAAGTGCATAGCGTAAGGGACCAAGCACCTCTCGTGGGCTGAGTGCATGAAATCCTAAGGCAAATGCCTATTGCAAACTTCAGGGCACGAGGGAGGTGGGAGAAAAAAAAAATCAGCTCATAAGGCTTTGCCTGCTGGCTCAGGAGCAGGGAAAGAAATACAAAATGAATGAATGTAGTTCCTTTTCTTTTTTAGGTCACCGCTGAAATTATCCGTGAGATATTTAATGCTGAAGTGGAGGAGAAAGCTGAAAAACTGGGAGAACAACTGTTTGAAAACTGGTGAGCCAAATGTCTCTTTCCAAAGAGAAAAATGCAGGATTTGCTTGGTGTAAGGTCACACTTGTCCAACAGGATCCTTGTCTTTCCTTCACACAGCTGGGATAAAGAAACTAAGGCCAAGGCTCAGGCATCCTGCTTGAAATGTAACATAAAAGGGAGACGCAAAAGGCAGGTGGGGAAAACTGGCTGTGAAAGAGGCCTCTCGTGCACCTTACACTGGCTGCTCCGGGCCAGGCTGGCTCTGTGAAACCAGAGCCGCAGCCATAGATGAGAGAATGAGAAAAGAGAGCTGAACAATTCCTCACAGCTGCTTTAATTCCCTTTGCTGCCCAAGTCGAGCATGTTGGCCATCATCTCCCATTGAAGGGATGCTAATAGCTGCTCTGCAGAGAGGGTACACCCTTTGACTCAGAGCAGTGGCAACGGTACCTTGATTGCACTGTTTTGATCAAGACTAATCAACACCAAAAGATGTTTTGCCTCTGGAACAGTTTTAATATATCGTGGTAATAATAGCTGTCTCAGGAAATGTTCCTGGAAGGGTTTGTTTTTCTCCCAAATGAGGCTGGGGGCAGACAGAATAGCACTCATAAGAGACAATACCCTATCCGATCCCAACCCTTGGTGGGGTCTGGAAAGACTTCTTTAAAGAGCTGCTCTGTCTCATGAAAGGTGTTAATCAAAATTTAGTCTGCTGCTCCTCAGGTTAGTACTGCACATGCTGTGCTCTAACTAGGAAACTTATCCTGGACCTGAAAAAAATCCTTCCCCGATATAAATACCTTTCTAATAAAAATGTGTTTTCTTTTTCTGACAAAACAAGATTTTTCATTAAGCAAATGGGAGAAAACTGCATCCAAAACCACGCAGCAGTAAAGCACATCGCAATAATACAGGCAAAGTAGTCATCAACAATAAAACAGTCTCTTGGAGAGGAGCCTGAAATATCAAAAAAGCTGCTTGTATTTGTGATATGTTGATTAACGATGTGCTAATAGCTGAGACATGTCTGTAATAACTAATTAGTTTAAAAAAAAAAAACTAATCAGAGCCAGGATCTTCTTTGGGCTGAAAGGGCATTTACAGTTTGCCAGCGAGGCAGACATTAGGATCGTACCCAGCAGATCTGGGAAATCACAGCCATGGTTCAGCAAAGCCCAGAAAGCACATGCTTAACCTTACCATCCCTCCAAAAAACTTGTGATATATATAGACAAGACAGAGCAAAAGAAATATTGCTGCCATTGGAGAAAGGGGGAAAGATTAAGTGAGTTGGCCAAGTCAGGCAGGAGGCCTGTGTCAGATCCAGGAGCTGAAATCACCTCTCCTGAGGATGGTCTTTAATGTTGCCAAAGGCAAGCTCTCCTCTAATCAAGAGCTGACCTCCCTGTGGCTCCTTGTGTAAGATCTCCCTGCTCTGCGGGACCTGCCACTCAGATCCAGCTTCTTTCTTTTATCTTTTTGCTTGTCTGCCCTTGGTCAGCTTTCCAAGTGCACCATGGTAGAATAAGCATCACCGGTGAAAGGGCTGAGTAGGGCTTTTCCTGTTGTAAAAAAAAAACAAACCACCCGCCCGCAAAAAACCTTCTCTGATATTCTCTTTAACCCATACTCCTGGAAAAGCTTAATGCCTCGGTGGAGGGCTAGGCTGTGCGGTGTGATCCAAAAGGTGGGGAAGAGAAGGAGAGCAGGAATTAACTCCGTGGCACATAGCAAGCAGAGACCCCAGCACAGAGCAGGGACTGCCAGGATCTGCTCTGCAAAACCTGGGGGAAGCGAATGCAAGCTCAGCCCTGACTGCAGGCAGGAGAGATAGAGTTGACGGAAGACAGAATTTCACCTCTTTGCTCTTCTGCTCCTCCCTTTTAGGAAATCCTCGGAGAAAGGAGCTGGTGCCCATGCCTGAGCAAGCTCCCTTCCTGCCAGCTCAACCTGTACAAGCAAGCAGATTTCAGTACGTTGGTAACAGACCCCATTTACAGGCTGACTGGCGAGATGAAGAAGCAGAAGGAGCAGCATGAGAGGGACTAATTTAAAAGGGAACATTTTCAGAGGAGCTAGTCCAGTCCACCCTTCCCCAAGATGTTCACCTTGCAGACAGATGCTTTTCAGTGGGGATGCAGTCCCTGCCTGGTTGCATCTGCCTAATCCCTGACCTTTTAGGTCAGTGGGAACAGTCCCAGGCAGTCAGGAGGCTTGGGAAAAAAGCCCCAAATGAGAGAAAATCAGACTTTGGGATCTTTGAACTGTTATTGCTGCTTGACTCATGGCTGTGGGTATTTTCCTCTCTGTGCAGCTGTTGGGAGAACTGGGGGTGGCTACTGGGAGATGATTGAATACATGTGACATCCCTGAGGCAAAAGAGCTCTGTGGTGAGGCCTTAAAATGTTATGGCAATCCTAAAACAACCAGCAACTCTGACAGGCACTGCTGTCTTGCAGGACTGTGTCTGGGGGAGCAGACATTGGCTCTGTTGTGAAATTCCTTGAGTTATTTGTGCAGTGATAGCACTCACCGCCCCCAGTGTTACGTGAGCAAGGTCAAAGGGATCTTCTCTTGCCCCCAGAAAACTTATTTCTTACAAAATAAATGAGAAGTAGAAATAAAGGGGCTGTTGCAACTTTAAAGTCTTAAAAGAAATGGGAGGATTGGTCAAAGGTGGGTGCTGAGGGCCAGGTTCCTCTAGGTGCCTTCTCAAATGGAGTTGGCTCTCTAAGAAGGGAATTAGTGAGGTGAAAAGGAGCTCATCTGCTGTAGAAGTTAGGACTGAGGATGACTTCATCCTTGTCAGCCAGGCTCTCTATCAGTCATACAGCGAAGGAGAGGCGCTTAGCCCCTGCCTGCTGTCAGGCTGCAGCTGAGGAAGCCGCATGGCCCTGCTGCTCGCAGCTGCCGGCTCCTCTCTCTTCCCAGCTCTGCTTCTCGGAGGGGTCAGAGTCCAGGCAACAACCAAAGTGCCAGGGAAAACTTCCCGTGGCAAATAGCTGGAGTTTCTCCTCCATCTGCAAAGCTGAAAATGGAGACAGACCAAAAAAAAAGTCTGAAACCCCACAATGATGACAATAATCCCCAATTCCCTTCTAGTCAGTCTCATCTTACCCCACCCTTTATTTTCTTCTCCAGCAGGAAAATGTTTCCCCAGCGTTGCTGGCACCCTTAGCAGGACAGATCCGGTGCAGGAGTTGTGCTGGGGGTCAGGCAGAGAGCTAGCATGAAGGGCTGGGATGGGATGCTGGGTTTCTTTCAGGACAGTGAGTTCAGATCATTTCCCTGCCAGAATTTTTTCCACGTGACCTCAAGCCTGCCCTTTAAACCCCTCTTTGCCTCAATTCTCCGGCAACTAAACAGGGATAGTAATTTTTCTCTTTAGCTGTTTGGATTGTAAGCTCTCTAAAGCAGAGGCTGTTCCTTCTTAAGATTGTGTGCCTCTCCTAGCATGCCTGGTCCTGGCTGTAGCTGCTCCTGTGAAAATCCTTTTAATGAGAGAGCATGAGCGCGTGTCCTCCTCTCTCTGCTCTGGATCAGCCTGTTCTTCCCTTTTAGGTTTCTTATCACTGCAGTTGCACCAGCATCGAGCAGACTCTAAATTGTCCAAGTGCGAAAGCACGGCACGTGTTGTCCCAGTCAAAGTGTGAAGCAACCCTGAACTTCATGCAAATCCCTTGCCTGAGCCAGATCGGAGCACAGAAGCTGCTCTAACGTATATCTGAATAGCATTGCTGCACAGCACGGATTAGCCAGGCGCATTTGCAAAAAACACGGGGCGGTCTCTGCTCAGCGAGGGAGGTCCCTGAAGGTCGTGCCTTGGCCCACGGTGTGCCTTGGGACAGGCTGTGTGTACGCTGAGCATCTGGGTCCCTCTGGACCGCTGGGCTCTCACTAGCAGAGCTGGCCATAGGACTCTGAACAGGTGTTGCAAATTTTGCTCTTTTTGTGTTTTTTTTTTTTTTTTTTTTTTTTTACAAGCAGGGTAAGACCATCTGTTATGCTCTGAGGTCATTAATGATTTCCAGGATTGCCAGGAAAACAGAAAATACTTCTGCAGCATACAATGTGTAGGCCGAGCAGATAATACACATAGATATGCAAGAAAACAGACCAGGGTGTAGTATTTAATGAAATATTACAGTGGAGTGGCTTCCAGCGGTTTTGCCTGAGGAAGCTGCGCAGCTGTTTCAAGCTGTTGAGCACTTGGGGAGATGATCTGTATTTGCATGACAAAGGCAAAAACAACATAATTGTCTACGTTACCTCCGTCTCGGTGTGCCATGCAGGGATGCCCTCCAGCTCCTTGCTGAGATAGGGGATGGGACTGCCTCCGCCTGCAGCCAAGGATCTCCGAGGCGTTACCTTGTCACTCAAACCCACCTCTTACATGGGGAACTCGGTTTTTTGGGCTGTAGCCCAAAAATCCGAGTGAAAGCCTGCTGAAGCCAGTGGGAATCTTTCCATGAAATGCTCAGGGGTTTGCCTTGGATTTCGCTCGCTTTCTGCAAATCTGACCCCAAGCCAGCGGAATGACTCCGTTTGGGGATACTCACGCTGTTCCTTTGAGGAAGGTTTCAGAGGTTAGGAAGAGCTCGCCTCCGGATGGGAAGCAGAGCCCTACCAGGAGCATGTGGGGTCCCAGGGACCTAATCACCCCTGGAGCCTTAACGAAGGTGTGGGGCCAGGCTGGGGTACAACCCCCCCGCTGCCCGCCGGGCAGCCGTGGGTGCTCGGGGAGGGCTGTGGCACGTTCCGCTCCCGTGGCTTTTTCCCACTGGCCATCGACATCTGTCTCGAAGCCTTTGGCTTCTGTGGGATGGGCAGGATCGGGCTGTGCTTCCAAATCGGTTATCAGGAGTCTGCCTCCAAGCGGGAGGCAAAAAGGTGTGTGATGATAAAAATGACTGGACGTTTCATTTGCGGGCGAGAAACCAAGCTTAGTTTTCCTAGGCTGACATAGGTTTCCCGTGCTCTGACAGTACAGTTTTTGTTTGGACACTATCAGAGCATTTCATTTTTAAGTGCTACTTTGCCTTCCTGATGGAGATGCTTTTGTTAAAATATGACTCCAGTATGTTATATACTGTTGTTTTTATAATATACTAATAGTCTGTTTTATTTTTTTACTGTTGCAATGAACTATTTCTACCTCACTGAAAAGGAGAATGTTTGTTATCAAGAAAAACAAATCAGCCTTACCAAAGGAAACTATACTGATATTTCTGACTATATTTTTAAGGGATTCACTGATAAATTTCCACAATGTGCAATTTTAATTGATCTTATTCTGTCTAGAATCTTATACAAAAATATTGGGGCTTTCCAGAGAACAGAAATTACACTTGCCAGCCCACCTGAGTGTGATTCTTTTTGCAGAGATAAGGATGCATTCTTTTCACTAGTGCAAGAGTCCCTTCATAAACTTATTTCACAATCCATGTGGTCTGGCAATAAGAGCCTGCAGTAATTTAACATTACCTCTTTTGTATTGGTTTTTAAGTGTACCTGAATTGCAATGCTGAGGTTGGATACCATACAGACAGACTCAATGAGTCCCTACCTAGTGTAATTGCATAAAATAGCCAAGAGATATTGTTAATCATCCTGGTTTTTGTCTGGGGAATTTGGGAATGGAGAGAGAAATTGTTTTCCAAAGCTGGTGCAAGGAATCAGATGGAGATGAAACCATGAACACTGGTCCCAGGAGTCCCACACGGCAACAGGACCTCCAGCATGTGCTACCTGTGTTTCCCATTCTGTCTTGCCGATGGTTTCTCAAGATCCCAACCTTGTAAAGTTTTTTCAGGAGCAGCCACTCTGACCTGTTGTTTAAAACTTTGCTCTGCCCTTGAGGAAACAGAAGTTTTCCTCCCTCTCTTGAAACTTGTGGTATCTTCAGCTGTAACATCACAGGGAATCAATCAATATGATCCTGCATAAAATTGTTTTCTCAAAGCTTCATCCGATTCCAGAAGTCTTATTTTCTGAAGGTCATCTCAAGAATGGTAGTTAATACATGCATCTTTTTTAATTTGCTCAGAGTTAGTGGCTTATCAGGATCGTTCTAAACTTAAAAGCCAAACTTGGGAGTTTGGCTCCCAAGTGCTTAAACAGATTATTGTGGTTTGGTGGTCCTACTCAGGTAGATAAGTTCCTCTTTTCACCATACATATGACCTCTACTCCAGCTCATCCAAAAGGGGTAGCCTGATTCCCCTGCCAGCAAAATTTTTCACTCCGTCATGGTGAAACTGGATGAAATGGTGAGGACTGGCCTCTCCGATTGCAACAGAAGGGTGTAGGGGTTGCAGTATTTGTGGTATGCCAAAGTAGAAATGTGGTGCGGTGGAGTCTGGCTTGAAGCAGAGCCTGCAACTCCTGCCTGCTCTGGAGACGTGCCCGCAGTTCCCCCCGAGGAACTGGCCTGTCACTCGGTAGATGCACAGCACCGCCAGTGCTTTAGGACAGATTTACACAGAGGATGATTGGAGACAGGCTACCCTGCCGCATGATTTGTTTGGGTTTACAGATTTCAAAGTGTTCTAATCGCCTTTTAAACAGCTATTCCTTTATTCAAGGAAATCTGCCTCAGGCTTTTCCAGTTTAAATTCCAGATTCCCATGGAAATCCAGGAGCCTGGGTACATTTCAGGCTGACATTTATGCTTTGTGATGTCTTGCCATTGTTCATAAGCGTTAAATGCTACATGTAAAGCAAACGCTGAACTAAAAGATCTTAGGAGAGAGTTCACCTTTAATATTTTGTTTACAAGATGAGAAATATAGTCCAGCCTCCAGCCTTTCATCATGTTGCAGTCACCCAGGCTTGGAATAAACACTCTGTAAAGACAGCACGATAGCATGCAGCTTGCCAGGGGTCTGCTTCATTCAAGTCTCACCTACCAAATGTTTAGGCCAGGACAGCTCCATTCTTTATCTTTTTTTTTTTTTTTTTTTTTAGCATTCTGTGAGCTTTCTAGGGAAAAAAAGTTTCCTGTTACAAGGTCCTGCAACCAAATATAGTTCTAACTCCTACACTAACAACACTTTTGATGTGCTGTTCAAAGCAAATCCATCGAAGCAGGATACTGTTAATAAAACTCGGGAGAAACAAGAGGTCAAGTGACGTGAGTAAATAGACCTTTCAGTCTTTTTGGAGATCCTATTCAAAGCCAAGAGGAATTTATTCTGACAAAACCACTAGTTTTAACATTGGAGATTGCTCTTTGAAGCAGAAGGAACTACTTCATGCTAGTGGATTGCATAAAACCACTTATCCACATCTTTCCAGTGCTCCCAAATGCATCCAGGGACGACAACTATTTTTTAAATATAATTTTATATCAAAAGAAATAATCCTCAAAACACTATATTTAAACCTTTTGGTATCCTCTGGGCTTGTGACAGAATTTCAGCATGTCAGTAGCAGAATCATTTTTACCATTAGATGAATTGTCATTGTTTGTTTATCATGTGATATAAAGACTTATATTGGACAGTTCTTGTGGTAATGCAAGTTTTCTCATTTGGGACGTAGGAAAATTCGGTGAATTTAAAAGAACTTCAGCTTGTAAAAACTGATTCTTCCAGAAGTCTGTTTAGTTTCACCTGGCAGCCTTTTGAGAGAGTATGCAGATATCTTGTGTCACCTGTGGCTTCATACACAGGCGAATGTTGGTCAGTATGTAAGTCCTAGACCTTTTTTTGTTGTTTTGTAGGTCCATGTGTCACTTCTGAATGGAGTCTGAAGTATTTAATCTGAGAGAGGCGCTGGTGATGTGCAAGGGTTTACAAGGGGTGGCAGCTGAGCAGGGCTGTCTTTACCTAAGGAACCTCTATTTCTAAAACCTGCTGGGATTTTGTTGTTTTTTTGCCCAGGGAGAAATCCATGCTATCACTTTCTTTTGCACATGGTCCAGTGCTTTTAGCTGACTTTCCACCCTCCCCCTCACATAACTGAGATAATGCTAGCATGCAAAATACTGCACGTCTTGCAGAAAGCTTGTGCTCCAGACATTTTATATGGGAGTCACACGTGTGAGGTTCTTATCTGGAAGAGCTGCTGCCTGCCTTTGGGAATTCTGCCCCGTATATTTGGGAGCGGGTAGGACTTGACCCACTGGGCTGGCTTTCCCTCTCCTGTTAGCTTTTCACCAGATGTATTCTCCGTCCTAGTTTCAGATTGGTGCCACCGAGGTGAACATCTGCCTTAGCTGATGAGGATTGCTGCACACCAGGGAGCCTGCCTGTGCCCAACAGCAATCTGCCTGTCCCGTTCCCTATTAATGCAGCACTCTGTGGGAAGCCATTTATTGATGCCGTTACACCCTTGTTTTCGCCAGGATGGGAGACCAGAGGTAAGGAAGGTGACTGTGGCTGAAAATTGCCTTTCACGTGGCCCACCCAGCCCTGTGGTTTGTCGCTCCACCTCCTGTCTTTTAAGAGCCTTGAGCTGCCTGTCAATGGTGGGGACTGCCAGCGGTGATGGAGAGATGTGCTCGTCTCTTGGCAGCGATGTTTTTCATATAGCCACAAGCCCAGAGCACTCCTGTAACGCCCGCTGCTCCCTGCCTCTTCCTGCCTGCTCCCCATGTCCAGAAGTGGCCTTGCAGAGGCCACTTGCAGGTTTTCCAGGCCTCCGGCAAGGCTCTCCAGAAATGGAAGAATTTTAGTAAAAAAGCACGCCTCACCAAATTTGGTTTTCTCTCAAAGTCTTGTATCTAATTGAAATACCACTGTGTCAACTTGTGTGGGCTGTCAGCCTGGCAAAATACATATTGTGTGCAAGCTTCTCTCTGCCCTGAAACCTCAGTCCCGTTATTTCCGTGTAACCTGAACATATAATTTCTGCCAGGGGAGACTGAATTAAGAGAAGCCCGTGGTATTCTTCAGGGATGAAAATAAGCATAGAGGAAAACCTGAGCTGGCCCCAGCCTGTTGAATGTCCAATGAATACTTGCTGATGGGAAGATAGTGTGTGGGATGTACTTTGTGGTGACTCTCTCCCTTCTTTCCACTCCTTTCGCTCTTTGCCTTTTTCTAGCAATTTCCACGGCTGTCATCCTGGTCACATTCTTTTCAAATTCCTCCCTCGGCTAACGGTCATGGTCATCAGAGTCACTGAGCCCTGGTTTGGCTCGGGTCCTAACTGGTCACCGTTCCCAGCCCCTGCATGGATTTCTGTGCTCACAGACGCCCACGGCTCTTTCAGACTTACGCGCGGCCCTGTGAACCAATTACATCTCCAGGTCCAAGGGGCTTCCCTTTCCTCCAAATGACTCATTGCCCATGCGGATAGAGGCCCTTTCTTCCAGAAGGCTCCCAAAAACGTTGGATATGTTGCAAAAAAGGGAAAAGTCATTTGGAAATTGCTGTAATGTTGGGATAAAACGTGAAAAATTGCAAAGTGGGGTTTGCCTTCCCGAGGGAACGGCGGACTGGCTCAAATATACATCTTTTCCACGTATCTTTGGACAGACTGACTCACCCTATGTGGCTGCTTCTTTCCATCTGTTACAGAGGCCTGGAGGCCTAGCTTAGGTGGGCATTTAACTTCTAGGATCTTCACAGGTTGCTGTATTATCTTAATTTCCCTTCTCAAATGAGTTTGGTGCACATTGTTAGCAAGTCACTAGATAGTGTGTCAAAAGTGTTCAGAAATACTCAACTATACTCTCAGATCAGTCTAGCACAATTCACAGAAAAATAAAGAACAGTAGGAGCTTGCCCTGGCTCTTTTTAGGCTCTTGATCTCAGTGGCTGAGGATGGAAAGAAAACAGCTACTGCTGGGATGGATGCATGGAAAACAAGCATCCAGGGACACTGGACATCCCTAGTCCCACTCTGGGGGGGAAGCACAGGTAGAGGCTCCCCTGGTTTGTGATTCTTCAGACTCAGAAGTCTTCAGTTGCACTGCAAAGTCTGTTATATCTGTGAGAAGTCCCAGAAGTACAAATATATTCACCTCTTAGGGGTTTCTTAATCGTCAAGGCAGGATGAAGTGATCCTACTTCCCTAATAACTGGCTCCTGCTTTAATACAGTGCAAGAATAGAGTAAAACATGTAAAACTTATTGTTTTAAGCCAGGCACAATTATCTGGGCACATGCGAATGATGCTTGCACATTTTGGTTAAAGTTATGTGTTTCTGAAGGCAGAGTTTGGATTTAAAGATAAATACTCTACCATGCTGAGTGAGAGGAGGCTAACTTTAACAAAGATACTTTTCCCATAACTTTTAATATTTCCGTGACTGCCCATCCCTATTTACTTAAAGTACATCCCTCACCACAGTTATTACATCATGAACTTAATATCTCTCCCTGGGAAAAGAAATACTTTTTAGGAAAAAAAAGAAAAGGGAGGTTAAAAAAAAAAAAAAAAAAAAAAGTGTTTGAAGAAGTTCAGGAAGCCCCAGATTCCTCTAGGGTCCCCAGCTGTGCTGTATGTTGTCCCAGCTGAACGCCAGATATTTCCGCTCTGCACATTACTGTATTCAAGGAGAAATCAAAGCGGCTGTCTTGAGTGTGCTTTGGGCCAAGTGTGTATGTCCCACCTCAAAACTAAGCTTACAGCCCTTTATTCTTCCCTTCTTATAGGCCTGGGGCTGAACACGAGCTCTCAGGAGCTCATTGTGGCTACCTGCCCGTCGGTATGTAAAGTGGTAGACGAATCTTCAGATGCTTCATGGTCCCCGTGGCCTGGAAGCCACATCCTCTGCCAGACCGTCTCTGGTGACACAGCAATCTTTCCTGCCCTGGTGAGGGGAAGAGCAGTATTTCTCTGATGGTCTCATCACATCGTATGTCCTGTTGCTACCACTCTTCACAGAGGTGCCTCCTTTGGAGGCACGTGCTGGTGGGTGGCCCAGCACCGGTGGCACTGGGGCAGCCCTGGGTGACAACTAATCCAACGTGGTAGGAAGGCTTCTGTCAGATATGTTGCCTCGGGGGGTTGGTTTATTGTCTAATTTTAGCTGGGCCCAGCCCTTACCACGAAGCCAGGTTTTGGTGAGTCACGACTGCAAGGAGAAACCCTTGTCACAGTCCCCCTTTTCCTCATGCCCCTGATGAAACTCTGCGGGGGTTGTGAACATGCAGCAGAGCGTAGTGGGGCTGTGTTGCTCCAGCACCCTCGGTCGGGAAAGCTGGCTGGGGGCTCTGCAAGGTTCCAAGTTCCGTCCAGCCCCGTGGCAGCATCACTGCAGAAACATCGCAAAGCAGAAGTGGAATAAACTGAGTATCTGGCAGAAATTATCTGGTTGCCTCCCTGATGAAGAGAAGTAGCAGGGGCCTGGTCTGGTCATGCGCATAGTTTACCTGGTTCATATATCTTTGAATTCGGAGCTGCTGCACCTACCATTCACACGTACTTCTGCTGTTGGGTTATTTACTGTCCCTCAGCCTTCTGTGGGATGGGTGGGCTTTTTGTGTCCTTGTTGAGGGACTGCTTCTCTGTACACTGTGTCTTACGATTCCTTGCTTGGGTGATGCTATGCAGCTCAGATCAAAGCCATGTCACTAGCTAGTAAATGATTCAAAGCGATATTTCACATTTTCACAGTAATTGTTAGATTGCTCCGAAATCAGTCTTTGCATCAGCCTTTCTGTAACTGCTTTAAGCAACCATCGCTTACAAGGAAAGAGGGAGATCTGCTGAAAACTGAAAGTACTGTAGACAGTACAGTGTGTTGTGCAAGGGCTCTGTCCCTCATCAGTGTCAAATTGCATAAATCAATGTTGGCCAGAAGAAGTGAAATAACAGCTTACTTCCTAAAATGGAAATATCCCCATATGTTGTTCCTGGCTAAGGATTATTCTCGGGGGGCAAGACCAGCAAGTGGATGGTAGTGACGGCAGCCTGTCCCTCACCGCTGCTGGCCCTCATGTTGCTCAAGGGAAGGAGAACAGCACTATTTGCCATAGATCTGACAAGAAGCGGGGGAATTTGCACCCTATAAAATCCCCTTAATTGAACTGTAACTGCTAATAAGTTGACTTTAACCTAAACCATGTATCTTTCTTGAAAAGAAGCTACTGTTCTCTGGAATCCAACCTCTGATGGTTAAATCTGTTACTGCTCATGTCACTTCCATATTCCCTAGGGCTTAAACGCTTTAGGCAAGTTGTTAGCACAACAAATTAAAATGGGAAGTTGGAAAATCCTATACTGGGAGATTATTTGCACAGTTTAGCAGCAAAAGACTGTTCTTCAATGGTGGAGAGCGGTCAAGGGTCCATCTGCAATGTGGGGAAAATGACTGGTCAGTGACAGTGGAGGAAACCCAAATCTACCATGGGACTCCTCACTCTGGGAATGATTCATCAAGGCCAGAGGAACATCTAGCCCCTCTCTGCTTGGGATCCAAGATTGTAGGTCTCTCTTGATTTTAGTTTTAAATACTCTCACTGTTCCCAGCCCTGCCCCGAGGCTTTGGGTGACCTGACCTACCCAAAGCCTGAGGTGCCAGTCCACTTCTTCTATCACAGTTTTTACTACTTTTTGTTTTGTTTTGTTTTTTCTTTCCCCCCACTTATGTGGCTGCAGTAGGATTGCATGAAGGTATTTACAGATGAGAGATTTAGCCAGATTCCATATTTGTTTAGCAGTAGCTCTGGACACTAGTTTCTTCCAGATGTCCTTGAAGCTGGCAGAGTGTCTTGCCCACAGCTATCTATCAATTGTGCAGCCTCTGCCTTGCCAGAGCTTGTGGGCAGCATTCGTCCTGATGTTGCTTCCAATGTATCTGAGCATTTTTACCCATTTATGGACTAGGGACTTGAATTGCTCGCCATTCCATATGAAGTTCCCCATCATTTAGCCATTTGACTAATGCAAGCACTTATTTTGCAGTTAACTTCTCTCCACATTCATCCTCCCATTATGATTTTGCCCAGCTCCTCGTCTCTCCAGAATATTCTCCCACGCATTTGCTTCCCAAAAGCTCCTTGACGATATCTGCAGACCTGTTGTCCCAGCCTTCTGGAGCCCTTTGGCAAAACTCACCTCTTTTGTGAGGCATCACGGGGAGTTTCACTGGCTGCCCCTGCACTCTAGCTCAGCTTGGCATTTTGGATGTGTTTGTCACCCCAGGTCTCAGCCCTGCTGTGGCCTGCTTTGTACCACCCCCCTCTCGCATCTCCTAGAGTCTGAGCCCCCACATGGCTCAGTGGAGGTCTTCAAGACCTTCAAAGAAGGTCTGCAAAAGTCAGTTTTTTTTACAGAATCGATGAAACTTGCATCCATATTTGTTCCATAGCTTAGTTTCAGAACCAAATCTGGCACCAGCACGGCCAAAGCTACACATGATGCTTCCACGCAGAGGTTCCCCCTGGGTTGTCAAGCATGGCTGTCCAACTAAACCAGAGCTAGTTAGCAAGTCACCAGGCTTCACCCTTCTCTTGCCAGGTGCACGGTCCTCGCTTACTCCTGTCCTGAACGTGTGAGCAAAATATAAGCAAATCAGAAGAGATGCAGATCTAATCCAGGTCAAGCTGCTGCTAGCAGGGTGCAGGCAAGCAGCTGCAGCAGTGGCAGGGATGTCAGGATCAACAGGGAGCACGTGGCTGCTTTCACGTTACTGTTCCACTTCTTTTAAGATCAGGAAGAGGGATATTCATCCCAGAAAAAAAAAAAAAAAAAAATCAGTGGAGTCATTCATTCATATCTGACCCTTATTACTGAAGTTAGCTTATGGATTAACTCTTTATGCGTCTCTAGGTGTAGATACATACACACACATTATATAAAGTCAGTGTGGTTCTTCAGCAGTAAAAAGGGGCAAAGTCTCACCCTGATTCATGCAATGGACATTTGTAGCCGTGTCTTCCACTGCAACAACTCAGCCAAGCTGGGCATGGAGCCGGAGAGCAGAGGAGTGAGGTTTACTGTTGGGAGGCCTGAATTTCGGCTGCCCTTGCTCTATGGCAGACTTCACTTCAGCACACTCTGAGCACTAACTGCATCACAGACTCGTTCAGGTGGTGTCAGCAGTCAAAACTAGGTATTTCTACTTTAAAAACAAGGGAAGCATTTAATGGGTTCTTCTTGTGCATTCTTTTTTTCTTTCAGAAATAGGAAACATGAGAGTGAAAGCTGTCACTAGGATAGTGGGGCTGCCCACTTTTAACATACAGCTCACAGATCTGGGGTCTGCCTTGATATCCCAGCTCGTGGGGAGTCTCCAGTCCTCCTGGGGAAGGATTCAGAGGTAAGCGTCAGTGTGAAACCCTTAAAAAACACAGGAATAAGTGAAACAAACATAACACCATTTTTTCTTTAAAAACCACTACTTTTGAGGTAACATCAGGATTTTCCTGAGGTTTGACTCTTTTTTTTTTTTTTTTTTTTTTTTTTTTTTTTTTTTTTTTTTTTTTTTTTGTGGAAGGGCTGCAGCCAGAGATGGAAGTGCAGCAGGCTGGGGCAGAAGAGCAGGGGGAGAGGAGGTGTCCAGCATCAGCTGGGTAGGAGTATCATTGCCATTTCCTTGAGGCAGAGCTCAGCTCTTGCGTGCTTGGGAAACACCTGATAGCACTAACTTCTTTTCAAAGTCCTCACCTTGTGGGTTTTTCCTGTTCACTCATTGGCCTGAAAGCCTAAGTTTTTTTAAATCGGAGGTTCCTTTTATTTAACTGAGAAGGTGGCTGTTTGGCTAATGCTCTCTTGCCAAGGGTGAATTCCCAGGGTAAATATCTCTCTAGCTTGTTAGCTCTGGGCTGGGATTCAGTCCATCGACTGGCTTCAAATGTGGTTGTTTTCATTTCTGTCCTCCTTGGCACAGGAGGGACATATAGGCCATGACTAAACTTTTCTGGCTTTCCTGCCAGTGCAATCGTGTGAGAGGTTTGGGGGCTGAAGAAAATGCTGAAGAATCATATCTGAAATAGGAGAGCTTTTTACACATCAGGCTGCAGATGAACATGAACAACCTCGGGGAAAATTCAGGCAAAAGCTGTTTCGCTTCGGCAGGCCAAAACCCATCCAGCACTTTCCAGCACTGGTCAGATGTAGCAGCAAGAGCAAAGGGCAAATGCAAATGGCATTTGCAGCCTTTCTTCTGGCCTGGCTCAAAAACCTCTGCCCTGATCCACCAGCCCTGGCTGGCCCATTGCCAGAGGGTGGGAGCCCCGAGAGATGGAGATGGGTGGTTGTTGAAGGACTGGTGCAGCGAGGCTGCGTGGGCTCAGGGGAATTTCTGTTATTCTTGAGCTGCCCAGGTCAGCTGGGTGTTATCTCGGAGCCGCTTGGTCAACAGACTCTGTGAGCTGGGTCCAACAGAAACTGCTAGTCCGGGAAATCCCAGCTGGTGTATGGCACAGTGCAGGCTTGGGAGACTTCAGCAGCAACCTGAAAATTAAGGAAAAGCTGATACTGATAGTGAAATCATGGAAATAACAAAATAGATATCTCACTTCTGCATTACTTAGTGACTCTAGAGATAGCTGACAAAGACATTACATATATATATGTGTATATATATATATATATAAACTAGAGCACTTATACACACTCTTTTCAGAAGCCGCTGTGCCTGCTAGGAACACTGGCAGTAGTCACTCTCCATTACAGTCATTATCAAAAGCACGTCTCGAAGCTGCCAGTGAAGCTGTTTTTTCTTTGTGCTTCTGTTAATGAGGCTGGTTTTGGCCTTGGGTATAATTTCACTCACTGTGTGTGGTTTCCTTTTCTGTCCCAGGAGGGAAATGGGGAGTTGCTGTTTGGTGGGCAGTACTGGGGCACCCACCTGCAGGACAAAGAGACAGTCCTGCTCCAAAATCCTGCAGTCTGAGTCGGTGCTTGCACACTTGTGATGGGCTTTCTCCCTGGTGATGCACGCACAGAGGTTAGGTTAGCCCGAGAGAGGCAGAGTTGTTGTCCTTTCTGTGCCCTGAGAGGGATGCTGGCGAATACCAAGGCATTAAGACAAGCCTCAGTTGCATGTACCAGCCCGATGGCCTTCCTAGGACTGAGTTCCCCTGAGCTCTTCCAGAATCCTTTTGGAGATGGCTGGAGGAACCTGTGGGGCATGCTAGCATCCTGGGCGCTGGCCCAGGGCCTGCTGTCGCTCCTCTCGGCCTCTTCTTCATGTTTTCCTACAAACTGATGGAAGGCTTGTAAAAACACAGTCCTGGGACTTTCATGTTAAACCCAGCCACACCTTCGCTTCTTCCAGTGACTTCACTCCAGCTGAGCTCAGCTCAGGCCACAGCAAGTGCTGCAGAAAGCTCCCTGGCTTTGCTGAAAGAAAAGGCAAAGCGGGCCGGTGAGGGGCCAAGTGTCACCTCCTCGCGTCTTAGTCCAGCAAGCTGGTTCCGCGTGGGGACCCAGAACATCCATGTCACCCCGCTCCTAGCTCATGCCCTGCCTAACTGGACATCTTTCTCTCTGCTATCGCTTCCTTTGACCATGGAGGCTGAACTGGGGGAAGGTTTCTTGCCTTGCTTGGATGGTCATCGCACCATCAGCAGCACCGTGCTCCTGCTCCGGATGCAGCCAAGTCGTGCCTCTCACCATCCACCTCCCACACTTTGGTTTTCCCTTTTGGTATCGACCTGGCTGCCAGTCATCTGAAGGAGTTATGTAGCGGTCTGATATTGCCTGGTCCTTACCATGATTAAGCCGTGTCACCTCTTCCACCTCGTTGACAGAGGGCAGGGTTTGTGTGGGTCCTGTGGCCCGGCCAGCCACGGGGCAGGACGTCCCTGTGCACGCTCGGGGCTGCGCAGAGCTGTAACAGCAAATAGCTCCCACTCAAGTTGTCTGAAACTGTAATTTTGCAAGACTGGAAGTATCTGGCAAAAAAGTAGATACATAAATGGATCAATTGTTTTACTTTTGGTTTTGTTTTGGTTTGGTTTGGTTTTGTGTGAATATTTTGTACCAGACAAATAGACCACTTAATAAAAACATTCATCTCAAAAGAAAAAGCAGTGAAAAAAATCAATTGAACCATCAGGTCCTATAAAAGCAGTTAGTACATAAGGTATTAGTGCTTTAAAACAAGGACTTGACATTGCTGCACTGCACCAGGATGGTGGAGGGTGGCAAAGCACGAGGCAGGGATTTTTATACCTCTCCAAAAGCCTCGTGGCAGACGAGGAAAGAATAGCATCCTCTTTTGTGGAGAGCAGAGAGGCTGCCTATGTGGGTCTAAGTGGAGGTACAGAGCCGTGTGGAGGAGAGGCCATGTGCTTAGATCAATCTGGATTTAGAAGTCTCGCTTTTTGCTCTTTTCCTTCTCTTTTTGTCCCCTCTCTGAGCACAAGAGACTGATCCTCCACAACCAGTGTCAGCAAGGGTTGTGGCATCCTGCACCAGCAGAAAGGCAAAGGGAAACACAAAAATCCCAACGCGTGAGCACTATCGTTATTGCCTTCTCTTGGTAAGACAAACTGTTAAAAGCCTTAAATGAAAGACATCTCTAGGGAGCGGCTTTCAGCCAGCATATAAATCAAAAAGTTCACCTAACATTTTCCCTCACATTTGCGCCAGTGTTTTAATTGTGTTTGATTTGGCAGCCCGGGTTCATTTTCGGAATAATAAAGAACTGAATTAAATAATTGAATCTTTTCCTTTGCAAACTTCATTCCCTGGCTCACCGCCAGGTTTTTACCAGGATAGAGACCATCTACTTCTCTCACACAACATAAATACACAGCAAACAGCAGGCCGGCTTCTCAGTGATCTGCCTGGCTGACCGGCACGCATTTCCCTATTGTTTGTGTGCCTGTGGGGAATGTACCCCAGGTTTGGAGGTCCCAAATCCTGACGGAGGGATGTAGACCACCAAGCAAGCTCCAGCATCGCCGGGGCAGTGTGTGTGGGCTGGGTGCAGGGTGCGTGTACAAGGAGTAAATTCCCCAAAGCATCTATTTAACTGACTTTTTTTTTTTTTTTTTTTTTTTTTAACAGACTACTTATCCCTTGTAGTATTTCCATCCCATAACATAGCTGTTCCTGAGGAACCTTTGTTCTAGGAATTTTCTGTACCAGTAAACAGGTGCCCCGTAGTGGTGTGGGGAGCCCCAGGATCGTGCCCATGCCCACCCTGCTCTGGCAGCACACATCCTGCTTCAGCCGACCTCCCCAGCGACCCACACCACCTCTCTGGGCTCTTTGGTTTTTATCCTAATGATTCTCCCCTTGCCAAAATCACATCAGGCTCTTGCCCACAGAAATAACTTTTTATTGGTGCTGCTGTTTGATGATAACGTGAGTGAAGATGAAGAGGCAGCTGCTGGATGTATTGGAAAGTGGGATGGTAAAAAGAGGAGTCAGGAGAGAGACTGCTGCTCTCAAGTGGGATTTTGGGTCAAAGCCTGATGTGTTTCAGCAATGCTTGTCAGCCCTGGCTTAGTAGGTGCCCAGTGAACGTGGAACTGAACAGCACCCGCATGGCTCCTCCTCCTCCTCCAAGGATTTTAATGAATTTTTAAAGAACTTTGCAAGACTCTTGTGCTCTCTTGCACACCTGAAAACATTAAAGCTGGGCTCAGCAAGCTTAAGTCTCGCAGGAGTATGAAACAGGACTTTTTATATTGGTGGGGAGGGAGGACTGTATTTAGGGTGATGTTTAGACCTACGGTGACGGTTCCCAAGCCATGCCTTCTGAAGACCCCCCACCCAGCGCAGGGGGGATTATTGTAGATGCCTTTTCCCCAAGAAGCTGCATCTCCACACCGCCAGTGCGAGCTGTAGGAAACACAGCCGCTACAAGGGGTGCGGATCTCTCCACTTCCCAACCGTGTTCATTTTATTGCCTTTTGCCCATGTACCAGCTCTCTGCTTTTTTTTCTCTCCCTCGCTGGGAGATACCAGAGCCAGCCTGCAGCCGGGTTTTCACGTTGTAGGGATGAACAAGCCCATCTCTCCCCGTGCTCCCTTGCAAAAAGGCTGTCAGTGGGGTGGCTGGTTGCCTTTGCCAACCCCACCAAGAGGCTGAGTCCTCCAAAAAGGGTGTTTTTGTGCAAGTCTGAACTTTTTTAAAAAATAAGCAAGGAAGCAGGAATGTCGTTGCCTCCTTCAAGCATCAGCCTGACCTTGGTAATACATCCCTGCGTGCTGGGTCCTGGGGTTTACCTGCTTCTCATCTGTGGCCGTGGTAGGGAAATCAGAAAGCTTGGTGTCAGCCAGCTCGGCATCACACCCTTCTCCACAGGGTTTGAGCTTTTTCCTGCCCCTGTGAGAATTAAGTGGGGTATTTAGGCTCTCATTAATTTTTTTGCTCTTAAGCTGTTTCATAGAAAAACTTGTTTTCTCCTGTCCAGAGTGTTAGGGGAGGAAGGATTAAGGTTTTCAGCTTTGAATCAGCTTAGAAGTGGGGCAGGGATGTTTTTTTCCAGCACAGCCCACCAGCATGTGGTTACCTGCCAGCTTCACGCTTCGAGTGGCTGCCAGGAAAGTCGGGCTCTCACGCCTGGCTTTTATTTGCTGTGAAATATCGCCTGGACGTTTCTTCTGAAAAATGACAGGGAAACCAGCCAAATAACAAAGCTTTTGAGGACACGTTTTCAGCCCAGCAGTCAACCCCATGCCACTGGGAGGTGGAGAAGGGATTTTGGACAAGCAAAGGGCTCAGCCGTGTCTTTTCATACGGAAAAGTCCCCAGGAAATCAGGGAGGGGGGGCAGGGGGAAGTTAAAGTAAAGCTTGACGTTTTTCCCGTACAAAGGTATTACTAGATTAAGGTATTACTAGAAAGCACCGAGTCTCTTTAAGCCCATTCTGGGCAGTTGGTTGCTGTTTCAAGAAGGTGTTTGGCCATCCCTGTTAAAACACGAGAAACTGCACGGTGCGGTAAAGCTTTCTGCATAAAATTGTGTTAAATGAAGTAAAGGAAAAAAAAGATACTAATTGGAGGAAATTACTAGAAATTCTGCCTTGGATCAGCCAGTAGCAACCCCTGAATTTCTGGAAAATTACAAAGCCAGGGGCTCAGAGGGCTGGATGGGTTATTGGCTTCTTTTTACTGTTTCCTGAGGATTAGCCACGTTGGTAAGGCTGCGGCGGTCATCCAGTGTGGGACTGTATCAAAACTCATCTAGCAGCTTGGTTAATGACTGGGGTGATACACTGTGAGTTAAAAAAAAATAAAGACCATATGTCATTTTTGCAAATAGCTTCCAGAAAGAGTCCTGTGGCCAGGAAAACGAGACTCCTGGCTAAGATAAGTGCTAGCCATCTGAATCATGTGGAGTCCAACTTAATATATTTTTTGCATTTCAGAGAGAAGCAGCTTGGGGCTGCCCTGGAAAAGGTGCATCTCCTGGGTGTGCTTGGGGTGCTGGACAGGGGGAGGGTCTTGCCACTCATGATTTATGGGGGTCCAAATCCATCTGGGCCTGCATTGGCCACTCCTGGCCTGCAAGAAGGTTTCCTCCCTCCCGAGCACTCATCCCTTTCCCAGTATTTGGGCACCCAAAAACTTCCCCAGATGCCAAGAGCCCCACAAGGACCAGACCATGATTGGGGTCAAAATGGGCTGGGGCTTTGCTGCTGCCCTTTCCCTCTGAAAAGCCAGTCTGTAAAAGCTGTAAGGACACAGTAAGGGTTTGCATAGTGAGCCTCCAGCAGGACCTGCCCTTACAAGAAGGGGTCATAAAATATTTTTCCATTTTAAACAGAGAGTTCCTCCTCTTGTTCCCACCCCACCAAAGCTTTGATCTCCCCACTCTGTGGGGAGTTGCTGGTAGGGTTTCAGCGTTGCCTCATGAGCCCTCGAGCCTCTCCAGAGAGTCACTCAACCTCTCTATATCAAAAAAAAAAAAAAAACCAAACCAAAAAAAACCCAAAAAAACACCAGCCACAAATAAAAGGCCCTGAAAATGCTCTATCATGCTTACAGCGTGGTGGTTCCCCTCCAAAACAACCCACCCATTTTACAGCTCTTCCTACCCTTCCCTTGCGAATGGGTCCAAAATCAGAGTAGCTGACGTTGTCCTCTCCTACCAGGAGGGTGAGGACCACTATCACTATCACCATCACAAGCAGTGTTTCCCTAAGGCTGGCTGGACACAGTGGGCAGCTCTGCCTCGGAGACAGGCACAGTGACCTCAGCAGATGGGCGATTAATGTATAGACGATGCTATATAATCTCTAGTGTCAGCAGGTGGCACTCCTACTACTTGATCTTTGCACGTATATGGCTGCGTGGGAGCAGCAACCTGCGGGATTTCTGGCCCCAGAGCAAGGCAGGTATCTGGGGATGGGAAGATCTCAGTCCCTGAAGCTGCTGCACTCACTGGAACTTGAACTGTTGAACTGTTTCTGCTTTCTGGTTCCTAGCAAGGTTGTTAAAATTAGACAAAAAAAAGATATAATTTACCCTGGGTCTAGGATAGTGTCAGTAAGAGTTGGATGGGTTTTGCTCTCCAACTTTTCAACACCAATTTATAATCCTAAACAGTAAAAGAATTATTTTTTCAAAGCTCTCCCAACCCCAGGACATCCAAGCAGAAAAATAAACCGGCAGCAGAAGGGAGCTGGGAAGGGGCCGCCGGCCCCATCGGCGGAGCAGCGCAGCTGGCACGGTGACTTGCAAACACCCTGCCACCGGCCCACGGGAGCCAGCCAGTCCCCGCAGGGACGTGCCCAAGCCCCACTGCAGTGGGGAAAGGAAGGGCTAATTACTGCTAATTGCTTTGCACAGCAGCTGGTTCGTCAGGGAAAAAGGCTCTTCACCAAGGGCAGGGGGTTCCCCATCTGCCGCGGCCCTGCGGGCTGTGCAAAAGGATGCTCTTCTCCCACTGCTCGCTGTCAAATAGACAAACAAATTATTTTGGGCTCACGGGCTGGTTTCATTCTGGTGGACCTTGAAGCTCGATGTGCAGAGCCGCAACCATCTCACACGCCCTTCACAGCAGCCAGAGCCCGAGGGAGCTGCCTGCCCTCACACTTCATCCCGCTCTGGGCTACGAAAGGTTTAGGAGATGCTGGTGTAGCCTTTGGCATCTCCCGAACACATGGTTTGGCTTGCTCCTGATTTCCAGCAAGCTGATAAAAGGCCCAGTCCCGCTCTATGAGCACGGCTCAGCAGGCAGACAGATCCTGGGTTTCTCATATACCTATACATGCCACGCATGGTCCCCAGGAGGGAGGGGCTGCCTTAGTGGAGGCTGACGGTGTAATGTGCTGGTGTAACCAGCCCTCTCTGCTCCTACCTAACCTAAAACTCCCCTGCTGCAATTTAATTTCGGTCTAATTAATCTCCACTCCTATGCAGACAGTAATGTACTGGTTTTACATGCTGCCTGGGAATACACTGAAGGGAAGCCGTTTCCCTGCTCTTCATCAGCGTTTGTCCTTGAAACTCGTGTGGGGCGAGTGCGGGAATGTACACGATGCTTCCTGTGATTGCGATACCCGGTGCTCATCATTAGGAGGATTAGGTTCACGTTTTCCATAGGACATGTATGCTGGCGCCGTAAAACCTAGGGCTGGAAGAGGTGC